GAGCGGCCTGGCGGGTGGCTGGGGGCGCTGCGCCAGGGCCGACGGGCCGCCTCAACCCGTCCAGCCTGAAAATCGGACGCGGCCTCGGGCCAATCCTTTGCGTGGGCAAGGGTGCTTTTCTGGAACCCTCCCGGCGGAGGGCCGCAGCCGGGGAGGCGCCCTGAGCCTGGTGGGTGCGGAAAGCGCCGTCCTCGGCTTCCGCAGAGGCCACTGTACCGGCGCCCCCGCCTTCTCCGCGAGTCGCCGGTCCAGTTTGTTCTAGAAAATGCCACCGCCGCTGTCCCCACGCCGCGGGGCTGACCAGGCTTGAAGACTACGCGGGGCCTCGGGCTCATGTGGAGGGCGCTGGCTGCCCTGTCCGGGCCCAGAGGCCCGCAGCTGGCCCGCCGGCAGCGCTCAGCCTGCTCTCTTTCCGCGGGGCTTCTCTCCCGGGCCTGTCCTGGCTCCTGGCGGGCCTCCTCGCCTTGCGGAGGTAACCGCACCTGTCAGTCTGCTGACCTCTGCAGCCCCTTTGCGGGAGGGCTTGGTGACAGCTGACCCCCGACTGGCCTGCTCGGTACCTCCTGGTCCGTGTCCACCTCCTGCTCCCATTTTCCGTACGGAATATAGCTTTGGGGAGACCTGTGCGGACCCCATGTCTTGGTCTTCAGGTTGTGAAAGATCCATCTTCTGCTTCCTGAACTCGGGGGCCTGTTCTTCAGAGAAGTCCTTGGCTGTGTGACCCGCGTAGTCAGATGGGGCTGCACCTGCTGGGTGGGTGGTCCTGATGCAGGGTACAGCAGGGCACAGTGGCCTTTGTCACACCTCGATTGGGGCCTTAGCTGAGGCAGGGGTGGAGGGCAGACTGTGATAACACGTGTGGCTTTCTGGGGCCTTCCCGGACGGTGACCCAGAGGTCTCCTGGTGCTCCCGGTGGGTTTATTCCAGGGGCAAGGTCCCCCAGCTGCCCAGTGCCTCATCCCCACCTGCAGATCTCCTGGGAAGAGTGGATCTCGAGCCCAGCTATATGCCTTCCCAGTGTCCACCCACGGAAGGAGCCCAGGAGACGTGGGCTGTTGTACCATGAAGGGGTGTGGCCTCTCACTGAGCCCCTTGTTTGGGGAGGGAGGAGCAGAAACATCAGCCTGGGTTCAGGGTAGGGCACCCCTGGGGCATGGGAGCAACACTGGGGCTGTGGTGTATGCAGGGTGCCGGGGGGTGGGGGGCAGGATCTGCAGCCCTGAGCTCCCAGGAGATTTCCTGGACTGGAAGCCCTGGGGCTTGGGGGTGACCACACTCTGGGCTCCTGGGAGGGTGTGACCAGGGCCAGTGGCTGGAAGGCTCTGGTTCCTCCCTGGGACAGTGTGACCCTAGAGTGCCGGACTCCTGGCCTCAGCTTCCTCAACAGGTATGTGAGCTAAGAGGTGCACAGGGGAATGTGGAAGCAGGGTGCCCCTGGGCAGGTGGCATCACACCGCAGTAGGGCCAGCGTGGATGCAGACAGTCTGCTCTCACAGTTCCTCGGGACGGAAGGGCCTGGTCAGGGATGTGAACTGTGCCCGGTGGGGCTGGTGACCTGAAGGGCTGTGGGGAGGAGGGGACGTTGGAGGAGAGGTGACATGGGAAGGTGAGTTAGGTCTCAGGCTCTTGGGGGAGGGTGGGAGAGCAGACGTACTGCTGGGAAAGGTCTTGTGGGCCACTCCGGGGCGGGGGGGAGACAGGAGCTGGAAAGGGTGGGGGAGGGTCGTGTGGTGGGGGGTGGGAGGCCCTCCACCAGTCTCGGATGTGAGGCCATCTGTCCTGGGCACATTTGTTCCCCAGGTGTGCAGGGCACTGCAGTTGAGTCAAGAGCCTAGTTCTGGCCGGTGGGGGCCAGGGGGCCAGCCACAGTGACCACAGGTGAAGTCTTCCTGAGCGCTGACCCCAGTGCTGGCCGCGGTGGTGCTGGGAGTTCACCCCCCACCTAGGGACGTGCGCAGCTGCCAGGGTGTTTCAGGGAGAAAGTGCTGCTCCCTTTGGTGGTTTTCTCTGTGGAGCGGCCCCCCCCCCATGAGCTGGCCTGCCCCGGTGGTGGCTTCCCCTCCTGAAAGCTTAGGCTCCCTCGCCAGAAGTAAGCAGTGAGGCTGGCCAGCCTGCCAGCCGCCTCCAGGCCTCCTGTCACCTGGAGCACTGGGAAGGAGCTGACCCCATTGTCAATCCCCTCTCTGGCACCTGCTGGACATCCTGGGCCCCTCCTGGCCACTGGGCCCTTTCACCTGATGTAGGTCAGCTGTGGCCTGTGGTTTCAGGAAGTGTGTTCTGTTGCCCAGCTGTGGCGCCTCAGGCCGCTTCCTGGGGGCCCCTCCCTGAAGTTCCTCTCACCGAGCCTAGGGACTGGGTCCCCATTCTGAGTCCTCTGCTCCTTGTCACAGCTGGAGTGGTCTGAGAATAAACAGGGTGGGCTCTCAACTCTGTGCCTTCCAGGCCAATGTGCTGCCAGCTCAGGGTTGTCCCTGCTTCGAAGGACCATGTATTGCTCCTGGTGATACACATGGGACTACTGAGGGGACATTGTGGGGACAGGGACGTCATGGGGACAACGAGGGGAGAGCGGGGAGACAGGGATGCTGGGAGGATGCTGCAGGGCCGTGGGGACGGGGATGCCATGGGGATGGCATGGGGCTGTGAGGGCACCCTGGGAGTGTGGTGTGGGGACACCATGCAGATGATGAGGAGATGGAGGACTCTGTTGGGGCAGGGGGACACCGTGGGGACAGTGAGGGGTGGAGGACGCTGTGGGGACAGTGAGGGGCGGAGGATGTTGTGGGGACAGTGAGGGGATGGAAGACACTGTGGGGACAGTGAGGGGTGGGGGATGTTGTGGGACAGTGAGGGGCAGAGGATGCTGGGGGCCACTCCGGTGCCTTCACTCCCACCTAGGTTTTCAGCCTTTGCCTGAGGCCTTGGTCCCCTCCCCGCCCTTGACCTTTTGAAAGGGCAGCTCTGATGACCTCACTTCCAGTGTAGATCTGCCCTCCCTGTTGCTCTTGAACAAGACCCAACATCCCGCCTGGCCCAGGCCATACCCTCCTGGCTCTGCCTCACCTGCCCTGTCCTGTCCAGGGCCTGTGGCTGGCACCCATATCTTCTGTCCACTCACTCCCTGCTGCAGCCAGTGAGCTCTAGGTTCAAGCTCTCTCTGTCTCAGCCTCAGGGCTGACTTGGGCCCAGCTGAGCCCTCCCATTCCCGGAAACAGACCAGAACAGGCAGGAAGAGGGGCGTCCCCCGGCTCTGTAGGGACCCCTGGCTGGGGTCTCTGCCCATGTTAAGGCCATGAGCCTCCCACAGCCTTGCACCAGTTCCTGTCCCTGCCCAGGCAAATGAGAGGCAGGACTTCGGCTGGCCAACAGATTTGGGTCTCCTGGGGCCCCCTTTAAGGAACTGGTGGTGCAGTGCCTAAGGACTGCTGATCAGAAGGTCTGTGGTTCAAACCCACCAGCTGCTCCTTGGGGAAGGTGGGGTAGACTACTTCTGTAAAGATTTACCGCCATGGAAACCCAGTAGGGGCCACTGGGAGTCAGAACTGATTCAGTGGCAGTGGGTTTGGTTTGGTTTTGGGGGCCCCTCGTGGGTGGAGAGGCTGGGGGGAGAGTGCAGCCTTGGCATCTGGGGCCTGGTGGGCCTCCCCCCCCCCCAGGTAGCCAGGGGTCCTGAGGGCAGAGGTGACTGGGTGCTCAGGCTCGCCAGTGAGGGGCTGTGGTGCCTCTGCCACACTAGCTGTGGGTGTGGCACCCTGAGGGCTTGGCTGAGACGCCCCCTCCCACAGAGCACCCGTCCTCTGTTACCATGAGCCTGGACATCCATTACGAGCAGCTGAGTGACGCGCGGTGGGTGGAGCTGCTGCCCCTGATCCAGCAAGTCCAGGTCATCAGGTAGGCACCTTCCTGGGGGGCTGGGGGGACAGGGTACTCACTCGATAGGCCCTTGTGGTCCTGTCGGGAGTGGCGGCTCCTCGGGGACAGAGAGACTGGTCCCTGTCTTTCAGCGTTTGTTTACAAGTAGCTCAGACTCAGAGAGTTGTGAAGATGGCTCTTGAGCCTGCAGACTGGCCAGACTCCCCCAGCTCACCCAGGCAGGCAGGAAGATCCGAGGGGGGACCCGAGGGGAGAGGTCGGCCCTGGGCTGGCCCTTCCGGATCAGCCTTCGCCGTTACTTAATGTCTTCCTTTGCTTGCTGATGGCGTTTCTGGGACCTCACAAAGCATTCAGCCATCAGGTCCCTTTGGGCCCCCCAGCCTTGTCCTTGATGATGTTTCGGGGAGCCATCAGGTCCCCATTTGGTTTGGTCTGATGTCCGTCTTGGTCAGACGGAGGCCACATGATTTGGCAAGAAGCTGTGGGGCCACGGCACATGGCAGTGACAGCATCTTCCCGGTCACGGTGGCATTTCTCTGGTTGCCCAGCGTCTTCATGGTTGTGTCACTCACTGTTCCTCCTGGTGACAGACAGTGCCCCTCAGCCTCCCCACCCCACCCCTTTGCCATTGGCCTCCTGCTTGGACCAGTGCTCATTCCCCCGTGGGAGCCACCCTCCGGCTCCCCGTTTCCAGGCGAGGCTTTCCCGCTGCTCAGGCTGGTCTGGCTTTGGCTGCGGGCACCCTGAGCCCCTTCCCGAGCTCGTCCTTGGTCGCTGTCCGCCAGGAGCCTCTGGAGTGAGCTGTCTGCACTGTGGCCCGGAGCGCACGCAGACAGATCGCCAGCCGAAGCGTCTGTGATCTGTCGGTTTTAACACGTCCTGACAGTCCCCCACTTGGCTGGTGTCTTGGCACTGGTGGCTGTGAGGCACAGCCTGGACACCTTGCAAGTCCTGTCTGGGCTGAGGAAGTGTCCCTCCGCAGGCTGGAAGACTGTGACCTCACGGAGGTCCACTGTAAGGACATCGGCCCTGCCCTCCAGGCCAACCCTGCGCTGACAGAGCTCAATCTACGCTCCAACGAGCTGGGCGATGCTGGTGTGCGCTGCGTGCTGCAGGGCCTGCGTGGCGCTGCCCACAAGCTCCGCAAGCTGAGGTGAGTCCGCCCCAGCCCTGGGTGTGGCCTGGCGGCTGGGGCAGTCCCTGCTGACGCTGCTGCCCCTCAGCCTCCAAAACTGTGCCCTGACGGCCGCCAGCTGTGCAGAGCTGTCCAACGCGCTGCACTCACTGCCTGCCCTGCTGGAGCTGCACCTCAGCGACAACTCCGTGGGTGACGAAGGGCTGCGTCTGCTCTGCGAGGGGCTCCGGGACCCCCAGTGCCACCTCGAGAGGGTGCAGTGAGTGCCACCCCGAGTGCTTATTCAGGCCCTGACACCCGGTGTCCGCCCGAACCCTCCAGGGTCCCTGCTGCGCCCACCTTCCCACGGACTGCAGCCCTGCAGATTTGGGTTGCGCCCCTGCCCTCGGTGGGCGAGCCCCAAACCCACGTCTGGGCCCCTCATCCCCCGAGTGCCCCCTCCGTGAGCCTTGCGCTGTGCGCAGGGTCTGCCCCCGGGAGGGGTTGGTGGGGGGAGGGCTGAGTTCGCTGGGACTGGCTCCAGCCTTCAGGGCCACGCCCTGGGTCTCCGGGGCTGCCGTGGGCACCACGAGCTGTGGGGCACAGACGAGCTCTCGCGTGCCCCCTCCGGCAGGCTGGAGTATTGCAACCTGAGTGCCGCCGGCTGCGAGCCGCTGGCCGCCGCGCTGCAGGCCCGAGCCGGCCTTCGGGAGCTGGTGCTGAGCAACAACGAGCTGGGCGAGGTTGGCGTCCGGGTGCTGTGCCGCGGGCTGCTGGGCGCCGCCTGCTGCCTGGAGATACTCAAGTGAGCGCGAGCCGGGACGGGGAGCGGGGGAGGTATGCGTCCTGATTGGCAGGGCTCTCGGGTTTGTCCTGTGACCGCGGCACCACAGACAGGGTGCAGCGGCCGCCCGCCTCTGGGCCGTAGCTGCAGCCAGTGCTTCCGCAGGCCGGGCTGCTGTGTTGTGGCCAGCACCTTGAGCATGCGACTGGCAGGGCCCGCGTGTGGGAAGCCCCTTTTCCATTGGGGTTAACTTCCCAAAGCACCATTCCCTTCACCCTGCCCTCTGTGATGTTAGTGTGGACAGCACCACAGCTGGCGTGGTGGGGGCAGCGAGGCCAGCCGTGGTCACACCCTGTCAGTGGCGGTACAGGAGGAAGAGGGGTAAGGCTCCAAGAACACTGACAGTGGACGAGCAGGAGGAGGACTCGGACAGCAAGTCCAGGCAGTTGGGTCTGGAAAGCATTTGGGTGTGTGGAGACCAACGTAGTGTGCAGGAGAAAGAAATCTGTCCCCAGATGGGGTGGAACCGCAGAGTAGGCCCTGGGTGAGGGGGCCATGGACCACTGGCCCCTCCTCCTGTGCCTGAGGCTGTCCCCCCCCCAACGTCCTGCTCTGAGCAGTCCCCATCATATGTCCCCAGGCTGTCGAGCTGTGGGGTCACAGCAGCCAACTGCCAGGACCTGTGCAGCCTCGTGGCCGCCAAGGACTCGCTGCGGGAGCTGGACCTGGGCGATAGCAAGCTGGGTGATGCTGGCGTGGCCACCCTGTGTCCCGGGCTGCTCAGCCCTAGCTCCAGGCTCAAGACCCTGTGGTGAGTAGGCTCTCCTGGCTGGGGGTGCTCAGGGAGCGGACATGTCTGGCGGAGCGGCTAGGTGGTGCAACACACTGAGGAGCACGTCGGTGGCCCCTCATCCTCGTAGGCTTTGGGAGTGTGACATCTCTGCTGAGGGCTGCAGGGAGCTCAGCCACGTCCTGCGGGCCAAGGAGAGCCTGAAGGAGCTTAGCCTGGCGGGCAACGAGCTGGGGGACCGGGGCGCGCAACTGCTGTGCGAGGCCCTGCGGGAGCCGGGCTGCCGGCTGGAGTCATTGTGGTGAGTGCCTGAGACGACCACTGGGGACCCATTAGAGTAAGGGCCGTGATTCAGGGCCAGTGCTGGAGCCCAGGACATGGACAGTGGTGGGGTGTGGGGGGGCATAGCTGAGCTGCGCAGACAGGTGAGACAGTCCGGCTCGTGTGTATGTGGGGCCCTGGGATGGGCAGTGGGCTCCGCCCAGGACCGCAGCCTGTGTGTCCTCCCAGGGTGAAGTCGTGCGGCTTCACAGATGCCTGCTGCCCGAACTTCAGCTCCATGCTGGCGCAGAACAAGTCCCTCCTAGAGCTGCAGATGAGCACCAACCGGCTGGGAGATGCAGGCGTGCGGCAGCTCTGCCAGGCCCTGGGCCAGCCGGGGGCCACCCTGCGCATGCTTTGGTGAGTGCATGTGGGGCGGCCGCACACATGCGACGTCCACATGTGTCGTCTTCCCGACATGACTGCACGGGTACCGTCGGTCACAGCAGGGCTCCTGTGAGGATGGCCTTTGCGCTCCCTTGCTCCCCGTTTTCCTTGGCACGTGACTCATTCCTTGGGGTAGCTGACAGGTGGGGGCGCTTCTTCACAGCACCTCCAGGGATGCTGTGTGTCCATCTGTCTTCGCTCTTGGCAACTTCCTTCTCATGTTCGTCCAGCCTGGCTGTATGTGCCAGTGCTGGGAGTGCACCACCTTCCTCACGTAGGGGCTGGTCTCTGGATCCCCAGTTTCCTGGTTTCCTCTCACTTCTGCTAAAGTGGATTCTCTGGCAGCTTCCTGACGGGAGGCCTTCATGCCACCCCTGTGCCCGTGTGGCTGGGTATAGAGTTCTGGTTCACTGGCTCCCTTACTTGGTCAGCTCTGCTGGGTCATTTTGTGGTTCTTACGCCATTGTGACCTTGGGTGCAGTCTGTTCTCTTCTTTGTCTACTGTGCCTAGAGCCCAATACTTTCTGCCCTGACGTGGTTCTTTGTCTTCATTGTGCGGGATTCCTTTGACGACTGTTCTCATTTTTTTCTCGTTCTCTTTGGAGCTCCCAGGACTCTGTCGTCAGGCCTCACAGACCGACCCTGAATTTCTGTTCTGTCCCCCTTTAGTTCTCTCTGAGTTTTCCTTCTTATCCTGGTGTCAATCAGCTGTATCTTCCCAGCCATCTGCGGAGCTTTTCACTTCTGCTGTTGTGGGGACAAGCCTTCTTTTATCTCTTGTTCTCCATCAGTCTTGGTCTGTGATTTTCATTGGAGACTTGGAAACCTGGTCCTCCTTGGGTCAAGGTGCCGAGAAGCCCTGCAGAGCTGAGCCCGAGGGTGGTGCATGTCATCCGCCATCTCTAAAGGCTACCCTCCCAGAGAGGAATCCTGCCTTGGGGGCGTCACCCTAGCTGCCAGGGTCCTTGGGGGGCATTCTAGGAGCCAGGTGGTAGAAGGGGTGTTGGATCCTGGTCATTGTGTTCACAGCCCTGTCCTCTGGTGATGCCTGGTGTCCCCAAGACCAGAGCCTGGAGTGCAAACTCTCCAAGGAGCAGCCTCATCATCTTAGCTCAAGGGGGATAGGCTGTCAGCTGGACCCATGGAGCATAAAGTCTGTTTCCTTTTGCCTTGCTTTTAGTGGGGTCCACCAGTGTCCCTGTGCCAGCCAGCCCAGTCTCTGGTTTGCCATCCTGGCTGGAACTCGGCTGTCCTGTAACCACACTGCTAAGAACTGCAGGGGCAGGCACTGTGTCTCAGTGAGGCAGGTGGCTCCTTCCTCCCTTGTCAGGGGTGGGTGCTGGGTTTGCTCTTCCTCAGCCTCCTTCCTTTGTCCTGTACCCCATGGTCTTTCTCCTGAGCCCAGAAGCTTTTGTCCATCTGCTGTGTGTTCTCTGGCCATTAACTTCCTGCTCCTCCTCACAGCCAGGCTTAGGCATGAGGGCTCAGGACCTCAGGTGCCTTTTGGTCTCCCCTGTGCCTGGCACCGTGTTGCTCGTACCTTCTTGGCTTCTGCAGCTGGCTTCCTAACCCCCACAGCCAGGCTTATAGCACTAGAGTGATGGAGGCACACACCCAAAGCCTGTGTTAGTTTCCTGTGGTTGTTGAGACAAATTACCACACATTTGGTGGCTTGAAACAACAGAAACTTACTCTCACAGCTCTGGAGGTCAGACATCCAGATTCATGACTGAGCCCAAACGGTGGGGTTGGCAGGGTCCCACTTGCTCTTTGCCTCCTCCAGCTTCCAGGTGTTTCCAGGCATCCCTTGGCTGTGGCCGTGGCACTCCAGTCTTAGCTTCCTGCCGGCACGTTTCCTTCCCTCTGTGTGTGTCGGATCTCTGCTCTCTCTTGTGAGGACTCTTCTGAGGGGATGCAGGGCCCATGGGTAGTCCTGGATTATAACCAGGATCCTCACTTTGTCACATTTGCAAAGGTCCTTTTTCTGTATAAGGTGACAACAGTTCAGGGACGACGGCCTGGTACATTTTGGGGCCGTTACATTCATCCTACTACAGCCTGCTCGCTGCCCCCAAAGACCTCCATCATTTGCAAGCTCAATAGGCTGACAAAGTCCACGGTCATCAAGGTCGTGTGCATTCCTCGGCTGACGCCTTGGCTCTTGCATCTTACTGTAAGCAGTGAGGAGCAACCAGGCTGTACCTTTAGCACTTTGCTAGAATTTTCCTCAGCTAAATTTCCAAGTTTATTGCTGATAAGTTCTTTCCATGCAAGTATAGGACTCAATTCAACCAAGTTTCCTGCCACTTTATAACAAGGCTTGCCTTTCCTCGTTTCCAGTCATGTTTCTCATATCCTCCTGAGCCAAGGCCTTTGATGTCCATGCTCCTACCAGCCGTCAGTTTATGACAACACGCTATCCTCAGACAGTGCAGGCTTGCATTGCCTGTGCCAGGCTCCTCACATCCTGCTGAAACAGCACGAGAAGTACCTTTGACGTCCTGTTAGTACCGAGTCTTCTCTGGGCAGTCTAGGCTTCATCATGTTCTAAATACTCTTCCAGCTCCTACCTCTCATCCAGTCCAAGCTCCTTCCATCCTTCAGGCATTTGTCACACATGAGGGTGGGGTCTGAGGCCCTCTGTGTGGACGGGAATCTGCATTTCCCTCCCATGTTGCCAACACTCCTCCTCCAGGGGATGCTGGGGTGCGGCCCAGGACGTCCTGGCCTCAGGCAGGTGCACATTGGACTGCGCTCAGATGAGGGAAACTGCTTTCCCTATCCCCAGTGGGGCTGTCAGCCTGCCTTCCCGTGGCCAGGGGCATTCAGGGATTCGCGGCATCGCTGGTGGCCTCAAGTCCTGTTGTGGGACCCACGCCCACCCGACATTGGTAGAGGCCCAGGGTAGACACACACCTGTCTTGCCCTCTGCTGCCCAGGCTGGGGGACTGTGACGTGACAGATGACGGCTGCAGCGCCCTCGCCTCGCTGCTGCTCTCCAACCGCAGCCTACGTGAGCTGGACCTCAGCAACAACTGCATGGGTGACCCGGGTGTCCTGAAGCTGGCGGACAGCCTCAGGCAGCCGGACTGTGCCCTGGAGCAGCTGGTGTGAGTGTGCGCACACGGCACGGGGCAGCCGCCGGGCCAGTGCGAGTCCCTCCTGCAGTCCTGGCTGTGGGGCTGAGTGTGGCCAGGCGGGCAGGTGGGAGGGTGGGGTTGGACACGTGGCACTGAAGCCCTGACCCGCCCCCTCCCTGTGTGTAGCCTGTATGACATCTACCTGACCGAGGAGGTGGACGACCACCTGAAGACCCTGGAGGACAGCAAGCCTTCCCTGAGGATCATCTCCTGAGGAGGGGCTCCCGCCACGGCCACAGACATGGTCCAGGACGGAGCCTTGGCCTCAGCTGCCTACCCTGCCGCCAGCCCAGAGCACACTCTTGGCTCTGGGTGTCCTTCCTTGCCTTGCCTTGCCTGAAGGAAAATATCTAATCTACTTGTTTCTGTGGGAAAGTCTTAGACACTCTGTACCCATTAAAGCACACTCTGGCAGTCCTGCCTCTCCCAGGGCCTGTGGTCCCATGCTGGAGCCGTGATGCTTTCCGGAGGCGGGCACACAGACTGCCTGACTGTGGTTTTGGATAGCACTTAACAACGCATACCTTTATGGGCCCAGATCCCAGGTTTAGTCAGCCAGTGTTTCTCACGACAGGCCTCAGCTGCAGTCCTGTGTGGCTGCTTTGGCGCCCTTCCAAGGGCTGGTCCTTGTCCAGGCTGTCTCTGCCTTGGGCCCTTGACTCCTGGAGGCCACCCTACCTGTAGGCTTTGATTCCGGGCCAGCAGGAGATGCCTGTCGTTCAAGGTAACCTCACTACAACCACATCCCACCCTTACCCTCCTTCCTGCACAGCAGTTGGGGCACCACCCACACCCGCGGCCCAGTGGGTCTGCAGCAGTTGTCCTGCCGCCACCCAGTCATCCTGGCTCTGTGGGCTGTGGGGTCCCCCTGCTCCAGCTACCGTCAGCTGGGGGGTGTCCAGGCATCTATCTCTCTGGCCTGGTGCCCCCGATGGCGGCATCCCCCCCACCCAGGCCATGCAGGGTTTGCTGTGTTAACTCTGCCATGGCTAGCCAGGGTGGGCTGGCCAGCATGGGTGACAGCCCAAAACCATCATCTCAGTGGGCCCTGCTACTTCTGTTCTCAGTTCACGTGCAGTGTCTGGGCAGCACCCTCCCACCCCGTTCTTCGCTGTGAAACCCTCAAAGGCGCCCCGAGAGCTGGGTTTCCAGGAGGAACCAGGGCCAGGGCTCCTTGGAGGAGGGGGTGAACGGGTCAAAAGCACCTTGTTTTTTGCAACATACTCGCCTGGGGACGAGCAGCCCAACAAGGCTCCTGCTGGTCCCATGTGCACTCACGTGTGGAACATGGTGCCGAGCAAGGGGGCAGACAGACGAGGCAGGAAGTGGCGGGGGAGGCGCTCCACATGGCAGTCGTAGGGTGCACCTGCAGGCGGGATCTGGGCACCTGACCTGGCCACAGGGCCCTAAAGCGCACACGCTTCTCTGCATAGCTCACGCAGAACAGCCCCAGTGCAAGGAGGGCTGTCTCAGTATCCCCCGTGCCTCAGACCTTGGTTCTGGCCTCAAAGGCAAGAACTGGATTAAAGCAGCCAGGGCACCGGTACCATGGACACAGTCACAGTTGCTGTGGGGCCACGGCGGGGACAGCTGGACATGGGTGTGCTGGGGGGTGGGGACAGCCGTCTGTTCCCACAGGCTCTCTGCAGGGCTGAGAGTCTCCAACATAAAATGTTGAGTGAAACCTATGGAAGCCACGGATCCCAGAGTGGTAGGCGAGTCGGGGCAGGGCTGAGGGAGGATGTGGGTGCTCACAGCACTTCCTTCTCCATCAGGAGGTGTCCCAGTGGGGTTGGAAATAACAGCCCCAGAGCCAGCCCCAGACGCCGCCTCCAAGGCCTGGCCTCCAGCACCACCACCGTCGCCTACGGTCACCACAGAGCTGTCCACACCCCTCTCAGCTGCCCCAGCACCACAGCCAGAAGCAGGCCCTCCCCTTGCAGCTGGGGACAATGTGACTAGGGGTGACTCGGCAGGCAGTGAGAGCCCTGGAGGCTAAGGCAGGAGACAGGCAGTAGGAACCCCAGGGGCTGGGACCATTGCCTCTGGTCTGAGCGATGGCCATGGCTAGACTCCCCAAGGCCCTGGGCAGTGACCGGGCAGTGACCAGGCAGTGAGGGAGTCGCGGCTGGAGACTCGTCACCACAGCTTTATTTGTTCTCTTTGCACAAAGGGGATGCCCAGCAGGGGCACACCACCTGTCCACTGGGCCCCACTTAGTCTGCTACATAAACGCTCCATAGGGGATGGCTTGGTGTCCCGCTTCTCAGGAGTTTGGGGTGTCATAACTACCCCCTTCCCACGGAGCTCCCAGGGATCAGTTGGGGCCTCAGGGCCAGCAGAGCCAGCCTGGACACCCAGGGGCCTCTGTCCCCCACCGTGTGGCCACCCAGTCAGAAAGCCAATGGGGGGGCAGCGCAGGAGTGGAGGGAGGCCCAGGACGAAGAGAGCAGGAGGGATGTGGGTGGGGCCCTCACTCAACCAGGGTGGCTCCCATGGGACCTGCTGGCCCTCAGACAAGCCCCTGCCCCTGATGGCCACCTCCTCACATCCCGACACTCAGGTACACACGTGTGGACCTCCACATGTACAGATTTACACACACAGGTACACACATACGCACACGCAGAAGCACAGCATGCACTCAGGCGCACACGCACAGCCAATCCCAGGATGGGGGCCCCCTCACCCCAGCTCGCAGAGCCACTTGCAGGGGCAGACACTTCTGCTGGGAGAGAAGGACGAGACTGGGCTGACAGCCTGTCAGTGCTTCTGGGGGCCGCACAACCGAAGGGCAGCTGAGGAAGACCATGGGCAGTCAGCACCGGCAGGGGGCAGTGTCAGTTCAGGGCTCTCCCTTCTGCTCCCTCGGGGGCCAACGGGTCGTCCTCCGGCCCCTGCGAGCGGCCATCCCCGTTGCTGACGGCTCTGCCCTTGTCCCCGCGGCTCTGCTGCTTCTGCCGCCGGATCTCTTTATACCGCAGGGTGATGTCCCTGGGGGGGGGCGGGGAGAGCACGGCAGCGTCAGAACGGCAAAACCCCGGCCACCCTACGCAGGTCCTGGGAACACCACCTGGAGAGAAGGGTGGGGTGTGCCATGCGGTGCCATCACACAGGGTGGACGCAGGGACACCCGGGGGGTGTCAGGAAGGCGGCAAGATTATCCACGTGCCAGAAGCCACAGCAGCGGGGAGCGGGTGAACTGAAGGGCCAGGGGCGCGTCCCCACGCGCTCACCGCAGGAAGAAGCGCCACACAGTCCAGGTGAGCACCAGCACGGAGCCAAGCGTCCAGCACTGGGAGATGTAGAAGGGCAGCGACAGGGTGAGCGTGTGCGGGTCGTACTTGACCACGATCAGCAGCTCCGTGGCGGTGATGGCGGCCACCAGCCAGGCCTGCTGGCCCAGCTTCTTGTGGACCCTCCTGCAGTAGGGGTGGGCACGGTCGGGTCCTTGCCTGACCCACAGGCCCACGGCCTTGCAGGGGCTGGGTCCCGGTCCCCCACTCACGGGTCGTCCATGAAGTCGTAGATCTCACGCATGGCCACACCGCCCACGTTGACAAAGAAGACCAGCCGGAGCAAGACCAGGTAGTGCTCCGGGGGCATCCACAGCACGAACTTGAGGTAGAACGTGTTCAGTTCTGCCAACAGAAACTAGAGGGCAGAGAAGGGTGAGCCCCAGGCAGCCTGGGCCCTGGAAGGGGCGTGGCCCAGGGACGGGGCGGGGCCACAGGCCCAGAGAGGGCGTGGAGCTGGAGGGATAGAGGGCAGGGCTCAGGGAGGGCGGGGCCGCAGGGCCAGGGGGCGGGGCTCAGGTGAGGCTGGAGCGGGCTGAAGGCTGGACCCGGCTCAGCACAGGCGGGGCCTCACCACCAGGATGATGCCGCACACCGCCAACCAGCGGCGCAAGTTGGAGGCGGGCTTCCACTCAAAGCGGACCCAGCTGTAGGGCGTGAACTGGAAGGCGATTCTCTTCATTTTGCCCCTGGGGACCGCAGGGTGCCCATGAGCCCCGCCCTCTGGGGCAGAGTGCCTCCAGCATACCCCGGGCCTCAGTGGGTTGCCTGAGGACGGGTGTGGTTGGGCTGGCTGTCCCACTTCCACTTCCTCCTCCACACAGCTGGTCTGAGCTGTGCTGTACCTGCCCTTTCCTGACCCCCAGCCACCCATGGATGCTGGGGGGACCTCACACGAGGTCCACTCCACCCAAGGCTGCAGCCCGGCCTGGCCTCAGCACAAGGCTCTTCTTCACTCTGCTGAACTTCCACTTAAGCTCCCAAAACTGTCTTACAGTGGACTGGCAGAGAGGGGAGCTGGCCCCAGGACCCTTCCAGGAGGGCAGGTGTGTGTGTGGAAACAGGGTCAGGGTCAGTCTGGTGGCAGAGAACATGGTCTCAGCAATCCCTGCCACCACAAGCGGTTTTGGGTAGGGCAGTCCCAGAAAGCCAGGGGGTCAGGGTCCTGCGATGGGTCCCCAGGGAATGAACACAGGGACTTGGGAGGCGGGTCTGACTCTCAGTGGGAGCCCGGTCTGGGCCTCAGGCTCATTTGCAGCCCCACCCCTGGTCCCCTGAGGGTGGGGCATCTCCTGAGACGTACTTGTAGGTGGGAATGTTCCACAGGCCCTGCCACTTGTATGTCTTCAGGGACAGCCACTCCAGGGTCTTCATGCCACAGTAGATGCCCAGCCCGTTGCACACAAGCACGTCCATGATCCACTGGTTGGGGAGAGGGCATGGCACTGCAGAGGCCTGAGAGCTCCCGCTTCACCCCGCTCATCTTGGGGGCCTCAAGGGAACACCCGCCTCCTATGTTCTCCCCACAACCCTGTGTCACACAGCCCGCCTTGCTGACCTAATGTATGGGTCATTACTACGGCCTGACCTGTGGACTTGGGGGAGGGATTACCCACGTGGTCCCACCTGACCTGTGGGTTCAGTGCGTGCCCCGACGTGGACCTAACCGACCTACGTGGTCCCACCAGCACTCGCTGAAGTTGGGCAGCTGGTGCTCCAGGCTGTACTCCAGGAACTCAAACATGACGCTGATGATGATGCACATCCACCAGTCGCGGATCATCAGGGTCTGCGGGGCACAGAGGGGCCTCGCACACGCGACCGCTTGGGAGCCCGCCATCCACCTGACCTTCCCGCCAAGACATACTGCCCCTCCCAGGGCACGGGGCCCCCCAGGGCATGGAGTCCAACTGGGTGCATGCTCCCAGGGCACGGGTGGATGGATAGTGCAAGTGGCCGGGGAGCACGAGGGTGCGCTGGTCAAGGTGGCGGTCACCATACCTTCAGGTACCAGCCGAGGAAATGTGCAGGAACAAAGCCGTCCAGCTTGTCCTGGGGCAACAGTATGCGCTATGATTCCCATGTGCTCCCACCCTGCCCCACAGCCCACCACAGCCTTCACCCTGTCACCTGGGTCTGCAGGCAGGGTCAGTGCCCAGGACACCCCATGATGTGGAGGGTGCAGCCCGTGGGGGTCCTGGGGCAAGCTAGGAGCAGGACAGCACTGCTAAGGTCCCCCTCCCCCATGCTGCCCACCATGCTGTCGAGGATGTCTCAGAACACCCGCCACTGTCAGCAGGCATTCTGGGAGTTTGCCAAGAACATGGTGCCCCATGTGAAGTGGTGGACACCCCACCTTCCTCAGGAAAAGGGCCACTCCCAGCTTCTCACCCAAACATTGTGGAAGGGGTCAGTCTTGTTGTCAGCGTCGTAGATGAGGCAGTTTCCCCCATAGTCCCTCTCAGGCAGCGGGACCCCCAGCCTGGGGTCGATGTACTTGAGGAACTGCCGGCCATCATGGACAGTCTGCAAAGCCCGAACGCCCCTGTCAGGAGGCCCAGCTGGAGCACCACTCCACCAGCACCAAACTTGGCAGGGACATGGGATGGTGAGCTGTACACCTGTGTAAGGGTCCCGTCTCAGCAGCCCCCACCCCAGGTAGCTGGAGTCAATCTGGGGGTCCCAAGTTCTGGGTCAGACAGCAGCCCTGCCCCACCCACATGGGCTGTGGGTTCTCTGAGCTCCTGGGGGGCTGGCAGCTTCAGAGCCCTGGAGTCACCTGCACCCCTCTTTTCAAGTGCACAAATGTGAACAGGTATTCCCCAAAACAGACCACAACTGAGTCATCAAACAAGCCTGAGCACAAGAATAAAACTTAATAGAATCAGACCATAATGGAATTTTTTAAAAAATGAACAAAGAGACATACCAGGTAAATCTCCAAACACTTAGAAATTACACAGCAAATGGCTGAATAATCCATGGTTCAAGGAAGTACTTTGAAAAGAAACTAGAATATTTTGAACTGAAGTAGAAAACAGTGTTGGGAAGGCTGAGGGCCACAGCTCAGACGGTGCTTCGAGGGAAATTATATCAATAATGTGTACACTAGAAGGGGGAAAAGTCTCACAGCTACCATGGAGGTGTCCGCCGTAAGAAACTAGACAGAAATGAGTAAAACCACGCAGGAGAAAGGAAAACAGACGGGCTGAAACCCATGAAAACTGGGGAGGAACAATCAGTGCACGAGCTCTCCCAAAAGCAGACCCACGGGGGGCACCTCCCCAGTATCACCCTCACCCCAAGCCACAGACACAACGAGAAAGGGAAACAACAGACCTGCCTGCCAGGAGCACGCATGCAAAAATGCCCCCCACAATCGAATCGTACAACCAAGTGGGATGCACTCCAGGGAAGCGAGGCTGGCTCAACATTCAAAGGTCAAGCAGTGTAACTGGTACATGAGTCAGCAAAGAAGAAAAACTCACGTGAGCTTATTGACTGATGCAGGAAAAGCATCTGACAAAATCTAACACCCATTCATGGTAACAAAAAACCACACAAAACAACTGAGCGATCCGGAATGGAGGGGAACTTCTCTCATCAAATAAAGACCATCCATCCACATGCAAAGGTCTGGTGGCATTTTAGTGCTAACCAGAATGTCAAGGGTTCAAACCCACCAGCCACTCTGCAGAAGGAAGACTGGGCAATCTACTTTTACCGCCTCAGAAACCCAAAGGGGGTTGCTATGAGTCGGAATCGACTCAATGGCAGTGAGTTTAATTTGGTTTATGTATCTATTAAAACATAAAAAACTTCTACAACAACCCACCAAACCAAACTGTACCCACTGCTGTGGAGTCAATTCCAACTCGCAGTGACCCTAGAGGACAGAGTAGAACTACCCTAGAGGGTGTCCAAAGGTGTCGATTTTTACAGAAGCAAAGCCCAAACCAAACTCACTGCCACTGAGTTGATTCTGACTCACAATACCCCTACAGCACAGAACAAAACTGTCCCATAGCGTTTCCAAGGCTGTTAATCATTACGGAAGCAGACTGCCACATCTTTCTTCTGTGGAACTGCTGGTGGGTTCAAACCACCAATCTTTCAGTTAGCATCTGAGTGCTAAACAATGCCCCCCAGGGCTCCTTAAACACCCCACAATCACTAACACAACAAATGAGACAAACAGCCTGATCAAGACTAGGCAAAGGGCTTTAACACATGAAAAGACACCCAATGTCAGTAGCCGTTAGAGAGCTGCAAATCAAAACTACAAGGAGTTACCACCTCACCCCCAATAGATTGGCAATGATCAAAAACATGGAACACGTTGTATTGGTGAGGTGGTGGAGAGGCTGGAACACTGTCCATCGATGGTGGGAATATAAAACAGCATAGCTGCTGTGCAGAACACACTGGCAGTTCCTAAAAAACATGGACACAGAACCACCACATAAGCCAGCAGGTCTGACCCCAGGGTTTGCCCAGAAAAAGGGAAGGCAGGATGCAAACAGACCTAGACACCAATGTCCCAAGCCACACTTTTCACAATAATCAGACAACGGAAACAACTAAATGCCCATCTAAAGAGGAAGGGAAAAGCAAATGTGGTCCACCCACACCATGGAACTCTACTGTTGTCAGGTGCCATCGAGGCATCTCTAACTCATAGCAACCCCATGCACAACAGAAGGAGACACTGCCCAGTCCTGTGCCAGCCCCATGATGCCTGCTACACCTGAGCCCATCGTTGCAGCCACTGTGTCAGTTCATCTTGTTGAGGGTCCTCCCCTTTTTTGCTGACCCTCCACTTTACCAAGCATGATATCCTTCTCCAGGGAATGGTCCCTTCTGACAGCATGACCAAAGCAGGGGAGACGATGTCTGGCCATTCTCACTTCCAAGGAACATTCCAGCTGCACTTCTTCCAGGACAAATCTATTGGTTCTTCTGGCAGTCCATGGTATTTTCAGCATTCTTCACCAACACCACAGCTCAAAAGCATCGATTCTTCTTTGGTCTTCCTTATTCATGTCCAGCTCTCACATGCATATGAGGTGACCGAAAATACCATGGCTTGGGTCAGGCACACCTTAGTCTTCAAAGAGACATCTTTGCTCTTCAGCACTTTAAAGACGTCTTTTGCAGCAGATTTGCCCAGTGCAGTATGTCATCTGATGTCCTGACTACCACTTCCATTGGTGTTGATCGTGGAAACAAGTAATATGAAATCTTGGACAATTTCAATCTTTTCTCCATTTATCATGATGCAGCTTACTGGTCCAGTTGTAGGAATTTTCGTTTTATGTTGAGGTATAATCCATATTGCAGACTGTAGTCTTTAATCTTTATCAGTAAGTGTTTCAAGTCATCTTCACTCTCAGCAAGCAAGGTTGTGTCATCTGCATATCCCAAGTTCTTAATGACTCTTCTTCCAATCCTGATGCCACGTTCTTCTTCATATAGTCCAGCTTCTCGGATCATTTGCTCAGCATACAGATTGATTAAGTATGGTGAAAGGATCCAACCCTGATGCGCTCCCTTCCTGACTTTAAACCATGCAGTGTCCCCTTGTTCTGTTTGAACAACAGCCTCCTGGTCAATGTACAGGTTCCTTGTGAGTACAGTTAAGTGTTCTGGAATTCCCCTTCTTCTTAATGTTATCCATAATTTGTTATGATCTACACAGTTGAATTTTGCAATCAATGAAAGACAAGTAAATGTCTTTCTGGTATCCTTTGCTTTCAGCTAAGAGCCATCTGACATCAGCAATGATATCCCTTGTTCCACGTCCTCTTCTGAATCCAGCTTGAATTTCTAGAAGTTCCCTGTCTGAATCCAGCTTGAATTTCTGGAAGTTCCCTGTCAATAATATATTGCAACTTTTTTTATTATTATTTTAAATTATCTTCAGCAAAATTTTACTTGCATGTGTTATTAACGATACTGTTCGATAATTTCCACATTCTGTTGGATCACCTTTCTTTGAAATAGGTACAAATATGGACCTTTTCCAGTCAGCTGGCCAGGTAGCTATCTTCCAAATTTCTTGGCATAGATGAGTAAGTACTTCCAGCGCACCATGCGCTTGTTGAAAGATTTCATTGGGTTTCAATTTCCGTCAATTCCTGGAGCCTTGTTTTTCACCAATTCCTTGAGTGCAGCTTTGACTTCTTTCTTCAATACCACTGGTTCTTGATCATTTGCCACTTCCTGAAATGGATGAACATTGACCAATTCTTTTTGGTACAGTGACTCTGACTCTGTGCACTTCCTTCCATCTTCTTTTGATGCTTCTTGCATCATTCAATCTTTTGCCCATAATCTTCCAATATTGCAACTTGAGGCTTTAATTTTTTCTGCAGTTCTTTCAGCTTGAGAAATGCTGAGCATATTCTTCCCTTTCGGTTTTCTAACTCCAGGTCTTTGCACATTTCATTATGATAATTGATTCTGTCTTCTTGAACTGCTCTTTGAAATCTTTTGTTCAATTCTTTTATCTTGTCATTTCTTCCATTTACTTCAGCTACTCTCTGTCCAAGAACACATTTCAGTCTCTTCAGGCATCCATTTTGGTCTTTTCTTCCTTTCCTGTCTTTTTAATGACCTTTTGCTTTCTTCATGGATGATGTTCTTGATGTCATCCCACAATTCCTCTTATTTTCAGTCACTTGTTCAAGGCATCAAATCTATTCTTCAGATGGTCTCTAAATTCAGGTGGGATATAATCAAGGTAATATTTTGGCTCCTGTAGACTTGTTTTAATTGTCTTCAGGTTCAACTTGACCTTGCATATGAGCAGTTGATGGTCTGTTCCACAGTCAGCTCCTGGCCTCATTTTGGCTGTAGATACTGAACTTCTCCTTGCACAGATGTAGTCAATCTGATTCCTGTGTGCTCCATCTGGTGAAGTCCACGCGTGCAGTCGCTGTTTATGTTGCTGAAAAAAGGTGCTTGCAATGAATAAGTCATTCATCTTGGAAAACCTATCACGTGATCTCCAGCACCATCTCTATCACTGAGGCCACTGTTCTGGTTCCCTAGTGCCGCTCTGACAGGAATACATCACAGATGGGATGCTTGAACAAACAGGAGTTTATTCTTATAATTTTGAGGCTTTAAGTCTGAGTTCAAAGTGCCAGGCTCTAGGGGCTGGGTGAAAGCCCCTCAGCCTTGGGCTGCAGCTCTGCCTCCTGCTCCAGCCACTGAAGTTGAAGGCTTTTCTTCACTCAGCTGCTGGCTGCTGAAGCTGACAAGCCCAAGGTTGACAATTAATAAGGCATAGTCCTGACATTACCAAACTACACGGCAGGTCATTAATTCAAGTCCATCGAAAGTCCCAAGATCGGCAGAGCATGGCAGGTTGCTGAACAACAACTCGGCTACATGCAGGGTTCAAGTGTGCCATAAGCTAGAGACCATTCCCAAAGCTGCTTCTTATATATGAGAAGCAGCTCACATACCCAAAACAGCTACTCAGCTGCTCCACCATGGAGTTAATTACCAATCTCACCATG